AATAATTCTATATGTACTATATTTTCTTAAACATTTATTGTGTTAGAATCCTAGTGTTATGCACTTGCCGTTGCACAAGTTTCTGTACACATGCTAATGTACATGTATATACATCACTATAAGTTAATCTGCCTGTGTTTGTTTATGTGGGCTCGTTGCTTAGTAAACAGCTCATGGAGTTAGATGTACAGCCAGTTGCTTTTTGGGTTTCTCTGAATGGTCTTGTTTTTCTTTAAATAGCCCCTGGACAGCAATACTGGATTGTCTTGCAGGTCTTAGCCAAAATATGACATTATGCTGGCTCTTTATCATTAAATCGTAATATACTGAAAACATCACAGGACTGCATAAGAACTGCAATGCCCTCAGTGCCCACATTTAATGCAAAGTTCAAGTTTCCTGGCAAGAAAAAAATGTTGAGAAACTAGCCTTCCCTTGGGCCCTGATGGTGTGGTGTACGTGCGGGTGCACACACATTGAAAGAAACTTACCACATTACATTTTCAAGCATTTCAAATGTAATATATGTGGTATTTTTTTAAAACCCTGAACTTGTGACTTGAATTATGCATTCACTGTTTTGTTTGTTTTACTTTTAAGCTGTGGTGTAACTTTTTTTTTAGGTTGCGCTTAATGTTTGTGTTGTTGGTGGTAAGCATGAAAAATAGCAGATGAAATGACATTAAATCATGAATATAATGCTAGCAGCATGCCATTGACGTGGTTCATTTTTGGACTCTGGTGTTTCAACTTGAAAGGAGAGAAAACAAAAAAAAAACTCGCACTAATATAATTCATCAGATTGAATCCTGTTTTTAGTTCCAAAATTGCGTACTTTTGGTTGCTAGATGAGAGGTTTTGGAGGTAGTCAATAAATGATCTTTTCTTAAGGCTCCAGGGTAGTTATAAGCTCTGTATATACTTAGGCAGTCTCAACTGGCTTCAAACCAAATGAAAAGAATAATAAGTAAAATTAGTAACACTAAATCTTTGTGAAGGACATTTGTGGTTCATATTCTCATTTAGCAGAGAAAACCAGTGTTCTACCACTGCGTAAAGTGCCCTGTCTATTACCAAGAGAACAATAGCACTTGAGTTGAATGCCATTATGGTTATTAGGCCTGCTTGTCTAGATGGTCATGAGGCATGAGGACATTATGCAGGGCAGTCTACGTATACGCGAGTGAGTACATGATTGTAATCATAAGTATCTGCTTGTGTTTCCACTGTTGCTATAAGGTGTATTATGCATGAGTGGCATGTTAGAAGACTACTGATCACTGATATACCATGAATGAATACTGAAGTTTCAACACAATTCATATGGCAGCATCAAGGTCAGAGGGAGCGAAAGTAATGGAGAGGAGAGAGCAAAAGATGAGCAATGAGATATACAGAGGGGGGACAAGATAAGAGAGACACAGTGAGAATAACTCTCAGAAGGATAAACAAAAGCAGACACAGAGGTAACAGCAAGCATCCCTACAGCAGATAGTAGTACTACAGCATGGAGGGCTCACGGACATTATCATATGTTGATTTTTGGTATATTAAGACTCCATAAGACCATTTTATCTGTGCAACTGGAGCTTGTATGACTGAAGGACTAAGCTTAAAATCCTGATAAAGTTAATTCTCTAGTGCCATAAACTACACAAGTTATCCAAACTGTTCAAGTGGATCAAATGTAACTTCAGTAATACGAATTCACACTTGATTTAATACCACATTGAACATTTTTAATCCTTAAATATTTAGCAGAACACTCTGTGTTTATCAGCCCCCAGCTGAGAATAGTCAGTAGTTATAACTGTACCAGCTGAGGACGTCTTTAACTCTGTCTCGGAATCTGTGACTTCCTGATGAGTGGGAAGTATAGCGACACAAAGCAACGAGGAGAAAAATCTTTCGGGTTATCTGAATAAGTTTAACTAAGACGAATCAACAGGAATCAACAGCTTGAATGCACTGAGCCCAGAAAATATAATTCTGGTACACACTGGACACTGTTTGTGAATCATCATCAGCTAACAGGACAAGTTGAAGTTCAAAGCAGGTCATTGATACAGGCAGATGGGGGGGAGTGACACATAGACAAGGATGGAGGATGAACGATAAAGATAGAGACTGACACAGAGAGTGAGAGGAGAGGAGGAGAGTGTTGATAGGACAGAAGAAAGACAAGGAGAAGTGAGAGGACAAAATGAAATGGAGAGAGATGGAGAGGGAGCAAAGGCGAAAGATGTGACTGGATATTTGAAAGGACTGAGGCAGTGAGAAGGTGATGTAACCTGAGAAGATACAAAGGATTGGATGGGGCATTGAAGGGGACAGGAGAGGTTAAAGAATCATTGCTGTACATAGACGGGTACTGACCTTCACAAAAACAAGAAATGCTAAGTGCAAAAACTTTGTAAGGGGTAAGCTCTCACCAGGGACTTCATTTTTCTTTCAGCTACTAATAAAAACTTCTTTCTGATGAAATCAGTTGGATGACATTCATGACTTTCCACTTCTATTCTATTAACAACTCAGTGTCAGTGTTCAAATCAGTTTTGAAATGACTTCTGTGCCTTTAATAAGTAAGAATTACTATTACAAGTTACCAGTAATCACACAATATATTCTGCAGTTAGTTGGTTTGAAAGCGCAATGAATGACCACTGACTTAAAATTCAAGGTCTCTTCTCTTCTCTTCTCTTCTCTTCTCTTCTCTTCTCTTCTCTTCTCTTCTCTTCTCTTCTCTTCTCTTCTCTTCCTTGTCACATGAAGCACCAGGGCACCAGCATCATCATCAAAGCTAACATCAAAGTCAAACTTTAAGGTTTATGCTAAGATGCAAATAGCTTTTTATGTAAATAAAGTCACACAAACTTGTTCAAAGTAAGTTGACAGAGAAGGAGATCAAAGGAATTGGCATTTCTTGCCACTGACATGCATATGCACACACATTATTTGGCAAATTTGGAGGGCGAGCGTGGAGATGGCTCGGGCGGACAGCAGAAGAAAAAAATGATAATAATAGAAAAAAAAATGAAGATGGCATGAATCACAGAGAATTACAAAAAGAAAGGGTTAGTGAGGGGTAATGAACGGCGGAATGGAAGACGAAGAGAACAAACAGCGTTGGGTTAATGTTAATGGGGACAAGGATCTTGTCCCCATTAAATATAGATGGCTCTGTTATGGGACATGAAATATACATGAAACACTGGGTTGGCATCTGTATCAGCTGTGTTAAGAAGCATGTCTGAGTAGATTGAGAGATGGAAGCTAGCTCAAGTGAAAAAAAAAGGCATTGTGGTGAGAAACAAAGGTGGGTGGGGAGAGACACACAAAGAAAAAGTCTAGGAAAGAGACATCAGACCAAGACAAGGATCTTGACAGCATTTGATCTACAGCCAGTAGAGGCAGCACCCCCCCCCTCCCCCCCCCTGTTCATAGAAGAGGGCTTTTACAGAGATGGAGATCAATATTTTATTGTTGTTTCTTGTTGTGCTGTTGATCCCCAGTGTTAAGTGTTAATCTGAGGTCTTCAGTCTCTGTGGTCGTGGCATGCCCCATGAGGCTTATCAACACAACAGGGCTACTAACCCCAGTGTTTGGCGAGAACACCCATTAGGCTCACATATAACCCCTAACCCTGGAGGTCACAGACCTGACTACTTTCCTGACTGGGCATTGCTGTTAGTTAACAGAAGGCTAAAGGCATCAACGAAAAGACACGTCAGAATCGACTTTCTCTTTCAAAATTTGATAGAAATAGTCACAGAAAGTTGTTTGTGTTTATGGACATGCTTTGTTTTGGGGTTTTATTTGTCAGTCCCCACATTTTTAAAATATATTTCAATTATAGATCACAATGTATTGTTTGTCTGTAGCAGAAATGTTGTCTTTTTTTTTCTTTTTTTTTTTTTTTTTTTTTTTTTTTTGCCTGTCCCGTTTGGCTCTTTTGCCATCAGAATTATTGTCTAAAGGCAAAGAAAGATGCCCAACGGATTTACTTTACCAAATTGACCATCCCAGCCTTGCCATAATGGTCCATTTGATTCACCTTTTATTGTTTATTTTATTTTCACTTACTGAATGGCGACTTGACTGGGGGAAAGAAGGGGAGAAAGAAAGAGGGAAAGAGAAACAGCTGAGAAGAGGGACGGGGGAGAAGGGCAAAAAACAAAAACCAACAGAAGGGCAGAAAAAAAAATGCATATATCGATCACCTGGATCACCTGCTGAGAAAGAAAAAAGAAAACAAGCAGAAGAGAACAAGAGTAATAGAATAAACAACATCACAATGATATATGGGAATATGACAGTAAATACTAAATATTAAACATTATTGTGCAGCACATAAGATCAACAGAACACAGTGTGCTTTGAGGTAGGAGCCAAAAAGGGTGTAGTTTGTGGGTGTGATCACCCGTGTGTACACCTGTGAGCATGAATGCGCTTGTTTTTTGTTTTTATTTAAATGTTGTCAAGAGCTTTCTGCGGGGATGTGTCAGTCTGCCAATCAGGAAATTGAGATGTGAAATAGCAACTGTTATATTTTTGCCCAAACCATCTTTTTTCCAAACCTAACTAGGTAGTGTTTAATACCTAACTAGAACATTTTAAAATCATAATGCAACTGAGTTGTGAAAATCTGTCCCTTAAGGATTCTGACGTGAGCAGCAAAATGATTCATGTCACTGCCAAAATTTTAAACTTTGTTCCATAAAGTAGAAAATATATTTTTTGTGTACACAAACAAACATATATGAAAGCAATTTAGAGAGAGAATTAGTGTCCAGAAACACACACACACACACACACAGAAAAAATAACAAAAGAATAAGAATAGATTAATTGGAAGTGTGTTGAATCCTGAATTGGAAGTCTGTGTTCAGTTGCCAAGGGCCAACATGCACACAGGGCAGTAATTACACTGCACAGATATTTTAGTGGTTATTAACTGTTGCTATCCCCAGCACTTAATCATTGTCTCTGTCTCTTTTTAGCTGATAGGATCCAGTATGGACGAATAGGCAGTGATGTCACCATGCAGTGTGGCTCCCTGGACAATGATGCATCAGTATCATGGAAGATGAATGGGACATATGTGAAGGCCCAGCACAGTCTAGAAGGCCCCAGACTGATCCTGACTAACGTGTCCCTGAACCATACTGGACTCTACACTTGTTTTCAGAAGCAAGATGATGACAAACATGAAGCCATCTTTCTCCAAATTGGAAGTAAGTACAGTAGCTTACTTCCAATAGGACAGGCGCATTTGCCCTCTAAGTGTTAAGGATGAGACATGACACATTTTTAATCATCCCGAAGGGAAAGTGAGTGATTGCAGACATAAGATGGAAAGACAAACAGTGAATAAAATAAGAAAGTAGTAAAATAAAATAAGCTACTCTTGATGCCATTGGGATGTCAACAAAAAACAAAAAGAAAAAAAACCCCAACAACATAGAAACAAGTATGACACTGCTGATAATTTCAAAAGTAATCTGATAAAAATGTGATAAGAATAATGGCTATAGATGCCCTGCTTAGTCTTACTTCAGCTATGTTTAAGTAGCTTTCTGTGTAATGTAAAATTACTCAAGAAAGTAAAGTAACAAGATGGTAAAATGTACACATAAATGAGAATTGTGATGAATCCTAAAATATAAGCTTCTTTAACACACGGTGAGGCTGTTACTATTTTTATCGTTGTTGAGGGCTGTCTCTTAACAAACTGAATTAAGTCAATTAGCTTAACCTTATTAGCACTAGCTGTCATTAATGCTTATATTTTATGTCTCCATGGAAATTTGCCAGAGTTTTGTTGTTCCATTAAGAATTTATAACTAAATGTATGATACCATTCTTTCAATATAGAGCATCAAATAATGAAGAAACAAGTACATTTTATGTCTTTAACACATTTAAAACCAAATGACTTTGCATTACATTACTACTATTACTACTACTAATAATAATGATAATCAGTGCAAATAAAAAATCTGCTACATACATTCAAACCAACAACAACCCTAACCCTCCAACCACAATTCCAACTTCAGCTGCTTCCGAAGCTTGACAAAAAAAGGTCTAAATATGTGATCAGCTTAGACTGAAAGATAGTCACAGTCGATGCTTGTGATATCATTTGTGATATCATTCCAGCCTTAGTGGAATCACAGTAGAGGCCCTTTTGAAATAAGCTTTGAGTGCGGGATGGTCAGAGCTTATAAAACCTGCGACCATCCCTGCAATCAACTGTGTCTAAAGACTGAGGAATATTACTTAAGAAGCTGAATCCATTCTATTGACTAGTCACAGGTCCTGATGTTATGACTTTGTATTAACGACTGTGAGGGTCAACATACAGCTGGCTAACAAATTTCCAGATTCTTTTTGTTCCGTGCAAAGTGAGCACTTCAGCTAAATGACAATTTTAATAGTACGCTGTAATGTTTGAGGGGCTGTTTCATTCAAATTTTAAATGCCAATATAAAACTTGAATTGTTGTGATAACAATCTTTACAGTAGATCTGCTGCCAGCTGACCAGTTCTTATGAATAGCTGTTAAAATTATATTTGGTCTATTTCCTGTTATGGTGTGCATAATCGTAATAATCATACGAAAAGTAAATGATGTCACTTTTAATGGACTGCCATGAGGGTTTGTGAGTTGGCATTGGCCTCATTTTAAATCCATTATTTTCATGGTGAAAGTTTTATGCACTTATTCTTTGCATAATAAGTGTGTTGGATGGAGTGGTAAATGGCAAGACGATGACTTGAATGAAATTGCCTTTGTTATAAATTGCTTTATTGACTAAGCTGAACAGTTTATATGACAATGAAAAGAAGAACCCCAGAAGTAATTTCATTAGTTGGTCTCTATTTAAGTTAAACGTTAATCTTAGTACATGCTTTTTGTGTGGTATACTGGTATAGCTTACAGGATGTCCAAATATTTGAATATTTATAAATTTTAATAATGATTTTAATGACAAGCGATTTCTCTAACCAGCAGATTAGCGTTCTGCCTTATTTATAATACATCACATAACTTATTCACAGTTATTATATTTATCATCCTCCATCCATTAGCTTGGCTGTTATTTTTGAATTCATCTGTCACTGCAGTTCTGCCTCATGACAGATTGAATGTCAATCTTAAATGACAGATCGAATAAAAACAATGTTCAGTCAACAGTGAATTATTATCTACTTACTGTAGTTAAAAAAAAAAAAAAAGCAGGGACATTATCTCTGCTGGGCAGTGTTTGTTCACATGAAAATGATCACTCTGTCTTCCCTCCTTTTCAGTCTGTTAGTAGTAAAAGGAATAGACAACATTTTAAATTACATTTTTTACAGAAATCACACTTTAGCTGCAAGAAGGCTAGAGAGTGAAATTAAATATCTTCTTGGCATCAGTCACAGTAGGCTACTTCAGAACGGTGGCAAATTTTGATACACAGCACATGATTCATCACTCCAAGGGGGGGAATAGCCCATACAGCGTTCATCTTTCCGACACTCTTGTGTTATTGAGTCCACCACAACTCTATTTTTGAGAAAAGCAAATTGAAAGACAGGTCGACCGGTTCATTTATCTCATTTGTGCCAGGTGAAATGTTAAAATGTCTTTCGTGAATCATGCATACAAATAACCGATCCAAAAAAACAAACAAATAAAATAAATAAACACTCAACGGTTAAAGATATTTATGAAAAAGCGGTCAGCTCACGTCCCCTTTAGCTAAACAGTAAACCATGCCAGTATGATTCCATCCACTTGTCAACAGAACCAATAGAGGCCAAACACACAACCCATCAAGATTTTATCCCAGTGCTGATGTTAAATGTTACATTTCCAAGCAAATGTTTGATGAATGAGACTATATGAGCGCATGACAGTTTGGTTAATCATATCAGCAGTGATGAATTACACAATGCTGAAGTAATACTGATTTAATGACTTTTATGTTATGGCAAATTATGTCAGCGGGGGGAATGATGCAATTCACAAACAGGCCAGGATATGTGTGTATGTTTAGGTATGTATAAAACAGAGAGAGAGAGAGCCTTAGACGGACAGATGGAAACAGTATCTGTGTACAAACACATGTGAAAGACTGGAGCTGCTTTTCTGCTATCAAAATGACACTTTGTGTGTGAGAGACAAACAGAGTTTTATTTTATTCATTCATCAAGGGTCAGATCCTACTTTGCTAACCTACTTTTAGCACTGAATCTAACTGTCTCAATAACAGTCTGTGATTTTATGACACGTTCAAGATACGTTGGGGTGGCAGCAACTGTAACTCCGCATTGCTAAATCTCTTCTGTCTGTGTTTTATTGTCTGTTATGACTGCGACTTTGTTTTCTGGCTACATTTTTTTTCATTATGTTAACTGCCACCTACACAACTTTAAGTGTTGTGCAGCTACAGTGATAATGACATCATGACAGGCTACACTTGTTCTGATTACCATCATGATGGTAGTTTGATTTTATGCAGCGTTTATTACTTACACTGGGGGCTTGTTATGTTTCACACAGATAGAAGTGTTATCAGGAGAATAGCACAGAGCCATCTGTTTATGCTTTTTAGTTTTTCTCCTTCACTCTTTGTCTCTCAAACTTTTTTGATTATCTCTCATCTTTCTTATCTTGCCTTTCGTTATTCTTCATACGTATGTGTGCGTGTGTAAAGCAACCTTGTATGACGTCCTTATTTTCCCACTCTTTCTAGCATCCATCTATCTACGCCGGCTTTTTCATTTGTGTTAGGCAGCATCGCTTGGCTTTGTGTTTACACTGGTTTGCATTAGGAACACTAGTGTTATGCTATGTGTGTATGCGCGCTTGGTCCACCTTCACACCGAATTTATGGACTGTGTCAACATAATGTTAGCACAAGGAGACAGCACTTGTTTGTGTTGAGTTTCATGTGGAAATATAGTGCTGCTTTGATGTCTGTTTCTTTTCCCATTTGTATTATTTCACCACTGTATATAACTGTTAGTTTACATTCTCTCTGTTACTTTGTTTTAAAAACTGTCCATCTCCTCATCCACATGCATAAACAGAGAGACACACAAGGAAACTTCAGCACCCAAGTACTCAGTGACGTCTTTAGACTGTATCTTCAGAATAAGACGTGATGTTAACTGGTAAAGGGGGTAACATAAAGCTGGTAAAATAAAAAGTGACATATGGTTTAAAAAAATACAATAGAAAATGAAAGAGTACACCCAGTAAAATTTCATTATAATTTAATTAGCAAGCGGTCATAAAACACTGAAGCGCTTGTGGGATAGTGCATCCTTTGCTGTCACAACAGTGAAGTTATTGCTGCCCTCCTCTTCTCTGGCTTTGTCCATTCTTGTATGTATTGCTGTTTTTCAATGACCGTCAGCTAAACAATTTATAGTATAGCAAGATGAGCTGCACCCAACCAGTTATTAAGCCTCCCAGCAAACACAGTATTAACAGCATAGCATCATATATCCAGCCACTCACCTGTCAGCTGCATTATACTGCTAGTGAGAACCAGCTGCACTTTATGCAAGTTTTAGACATAGTCTATGTGCAACTTGGTTATATCACAAAGAAATAACTTAAAGTTTACATCTTCTGCAAAAGGATGTTCCATGGTTAAAATTATCAGGGAGATGGAGGAAAGTACGGAAGGACCTTTTCTTTAGGGAAACATTTTACATATGATAGCATACAAGTCAATTTCACTGAAAGCTCTACTACATGATGATAACTCTTTGAAAAATGTTTGTATTGACTTAGTTCAGATGTAACAACTAGATAAACTCATCTGTTCAATTGCAGTACTTAATGTACAGTGTGACGGTTAATTACTGAGGCTTATTTTGTAGGAAACATGAGTACCTGAGGAAAAAAGGTTTTATTTAACCCTCCACACTCCAACAGAATTCTACTAAAATGTTCTTGACAATTTTGAAGAAAAGGGAGAAACTGGTGAATATTATAAACACTCATATTTAGCAAAAAAAAAAAAGCTTAAAGAATTTACAGAAATCTTCTTATTTATTCTTTATATTATTGAAATTATCTATTGCCAGCAGGATTACACATGTAAATCTTCCATCTGTGCCCAGCTAACAACTAGTCGGCTAAAACAACAACAAATTGTTTTAAGATAAAGTTAGACTCAAGTGTTTAGAAAGTCATACTGTGAGAGTCTGATGATGCTAGTTTTATTTC